TTGAAGTGCACTGTCACGAGAAAGCAAAACGCTGACCAACATTAGATTAACTCTCTACTGCAAACCGTGTGGTGGCTCTGAATGCAAACACAGAACACTTACTTGTCCACGCAAATTTGACTTTGGACTTTTCTGAAAAGAATGCTTCTAGCGGCCTTGTTAACCAGATGGTTTCGACTACCTCAGGTATTTGTCAAGGTCAAAGACAGTCTCGACATAGTGTCTAACACGCCACGTTTTTAGCCAAGAGTCGTCCAGTCTAAAGCGAATTCGGACATTTTCTGACAGTTTGAGTTTTCGGCCATCCATGTAGCGTAAGTCATTGTGCCAAGTCTTCGGGGTTGCCAGAATTCAATGTTGTATTTGTCAAATAGAATGTGAAACCAGCTATAAGAGAAAGATGTTATTTACACTATTAAAGCGTTAATTTAAACTAGTGAGGTAAAAGCCGAGTCTGTTCAAAATCATTTTGAATCACGCGGGCCTGGGTAGTGGAGGCAAGAATTCAAGTTCGGTGTCTTGAAGGATGGCGTTGGCTTATGACAAAGCGATGAGTGTGGCTGAAAGCTCTGCAGCGGCTTCGTTAGCGCTACCTTGCAACCCCGCTAGTCGACAGCCCGAGAGGAAAGGCAAGACAGATGATAGCGAATATTAGACTTTATTTGCATTTCGCCAGCCAAGTCTTTCATATCATAGCGCGTGAGTGCATCTCGAACGTCAACTGTAATCGACAACTGATGACATTCAAACAACTCGTGAATTCGCTTCAATCATGTTCGTTTAATGAAAGATCACTACAACTCGGTGCGAAATAAATGCGTCAGACACCGTCTGCTGTTTTAACCTCACCTCAGCCCTTTCAACACCTTACATCAAGAGGCATTTCACAAAAAATTTGACAAAAATCTAAGCCACACTACAGTCATTTGGCTAGTTTGACCTTGGGATTAAGCCACAAAGCTCCACATTGTTTGCTTGTGCAGACTTCCAACAAGCTTATACGTGCTTTGAATTAAATTCCTCTCCTTCTTCTGGGCACGAGGAGGGGACGGACTGGAGAGTGGTAGATTTACCTCGGAGCAAACGATATGTAACACGAAAACCCGCAATTCATCATTGGGAGACCGGAATTTGTTCACTGAGACTCGCTGCTCCCACCCACGTGGATGCGATCACCTCCCTCCGGCTCTCCCACACAGCCTTCTGCCATCATTATTCGCCCTCAATTTAAAACACTTTTTGCCCGATTGTTGCCGCACACACACACAAACTCATGGAATGAAATATGCACTATCGAAGAGCAAGTAAATTAATGGCTTCGTAAGTTTCTCGTGGGACAATTCGACTGATTTATCGGAAGGGAGAACAAAGAGGAAGGTTTAACCGGCGACTAAAATCCGAGAAGCCATCTGGGGTTCGCCAAAACCCTTACTTGGTGGATTTAGTTTTCTACTCCCTTGAAGCTGTATAAATGCAGTAAATATTTTCGGTGAAACCGTTAGGAAAATGGGAGGACAATGCTGATGTAGGGTTGATAGTATTTTGGAGGAAAGAGCAAAGGACTTCTCGGCATGACAATGGCTAATCTAAACCCACAGCCAACTGCTGTGTCGGCGTAATCACTCCACACCTAACCGCATGGTACCTCCAATTAAGTGTCCCATTTACTTTTCAGCCCATTAAAATAAGCAGCACGTCTTTTGAAATCCCCTAGAGTCTGGAAAATATTCTTAGTGGCAGAATGTCCATCGGTTCATAAGCACTCCTTTTAAGTGGGTGTCCAGTGGGTCTTAAGCCTCAGACTCGATCTGAGCAATCTGCACTCGCATGACAACATTCTCCATGTGAAGTGAACCAGAGATCCTTAGACAAAAAGGCAGACACCGTTGCAAATTTGACCGTCCACGAGGTACAAGGACTCCTCACATGTTCCCGCGGCTAAAGCCTACACACGTAAGGCCAGTCGCGATCAATTTGTCCGTGCTAAAGCACTCATTACAGACAGGTTTTCGTATTGCTGTGACAACGATAAAAGAATTAGAACAGTCCCCCGGCGCGGGCCGTTCCGCTCGATCGCATTCCACCTGTTTTAAGTGTTTTTACCTTAAAATTCCTAATTTTTCACCATGTGATACTACAATGCAAATTCCAATCGACCGCCACTTACGTTACGAAATTTATCAACTGCCTGGCGCAGTAGTCCAGACTTGAAAACCTCCAATGATGAGGCCCTTTTACCCTTCTGTTTGTGAGTGGAATCCTTCTTTTTACCAATTGTTCATAGCGAAAAACAGGGGCAAATGGTGTCAAAACAAGAAGCAGGTTCGCGCGGTGAATCATTTAAAATGGCGGAACAACTCTGGATGTTTTTGTTTATCAGAGGACTTTTACTGATGACCAATGGAGCTGAAATGAGGCAAAGACATACTTTCGATTTTATAGGTCATAGATGTAAGAAATGCATATGGGTGCTCAAACGTCATGATTTAGTTACACTATGAAATTATTTCCAGAATGCTAAGTAAAGTATCCTAATAAGATAGTCATTGAGATTGATGCCTTCAGACGCCAATGGTTATGGAATTAAAAAAACACGAACCACTCCAGGTTAAAACACACATTGATTGCCATGAGTTAGTCTAAACAGTTGGTACTCACAAAACTCGAAGTGTTCCCCAGCAAATGTAGTCCCTGGAGGTCCAAGCGGCCTCACTCCTAAAGCACAATTTCGTTCAAGAACTTAGCCAAATAATGTTTTACAGTAATCAGCTTATGAACCGTAAATCGAGTAAGTTTTAGCCACACACGCTTTGTTATCACTTAAACAAACATGCCAACTGCAGTGGTCCTTTTCAAGTGCCTTTTGATGTTCGAAGTTCAAAAGAAATATGTCGCACACATATGATGCATAAAAGTAGGACATTACGAACCTACCTGGTTGCAACTCAGTGAGGCGCATTTCAAGTGCTCAAGGTTACTGCAGTTCAACTAATGCATATTTTAGCTAAAATGAATTTTTTTTGATAATTTCACATAGACATTGACAACGAGGAGTTTCTGATACAAAGCCTCTGAATTTCAAGCGGTTCTGGATGGAACAGTGTCCCGTGAAGTAAGAGTCAATTTAGCAATGGATCCGGAGTCAGAAGACGTCAAAAAGTTTGTTATTCTAAACTTGTATCTCTAGTCGAATCTTAATTGGACACACTGTTACTGAAAGTCATTTTCCAAAATATCTCAGATTTTAACAGGCACAGGGCTGTTGAGAGGGCAAATGGTATCGCTGACGTAGTCGGGCATGTTAAATTGCATTCAAATTATAAGTGCAACCAGATTATTCTTGATGGTGTTTGCTAAAAATCAATTCTGCCCCAACAACGAGGCTACGCATATAAAATGGCGTTTGTTGACAATATTAGCAAAATGCATATTTACAAAATTATAACCACTTTATGTTGATAAGTTGTATAATTTATTTCATGAAATTATTAACTTCCGTGACCTTGTATCTAAAATACCGGCTCCTAAAGTAAAAATTGAAGCAACCTTTCAAAGTTGAATCTCATGATCTGGCATCGCATATGACTTAATACATTTTGGTCAAACTGGATATTAAAGGGGAGTGACTGAACATGTAGCTTTGATTCACATTTGGGAATTTCGTCTGCGAAAGTTACGACATCCTTACTGAATTCAATCAACTGTGACTCGATTGTAACAGGCTGAAAGAAGACGGATGGCTGCAATAAGTACCACTGAAGAACTACCGTAAGGACACAAAATATGCGAAATTAAGGAATAATCTAATAGGGCGTCTTGTACGCGCCGATCACTATCTTTCACATTAACTCTATCAGGGACTTGCATTTCGTTTAAATATGGTTTTCTGTATTTTTGGGATCACGTACCAAGGCTAGAAGCACTTTGAGTCATCTCTAAGTCGATTAAATAAGTTTGATGGACGTTGAAGGTATCGGACGAGTTCAAAATTACCTACAAGACGACATTAGACTAAGCTCAAAGTAAGCAACACCCTGGACTTTAATCTACTACATTAACACACCTACCAAAATGTGACTAGTCAGATGCACTAACGCCTTTTGACGACTCTTACCGAAATACGTTTCGATATACAGTGTGGGCGAATGACAAGAGGTAAGTTTTCGTGGCTCTAATTCAAACTACTAACACATTCAGACCTCAAAATAATCATGCCACTTTGTTTTACTTTCTGTGGAAAGACTGATTTTCTGAGCTACTCCGTCAGGAAATGGGACCTCAGCGTAAGCAAAACAATACATCGAATGATTTGTATGCTTGCCAAATGACCTTGCCACAAAATCAGCAGTCCTGTCCAAACAAAATTCAGTTCTCAAATGCCTGACCTTAGTTGTCTCACGATTTAAGAAAAAAAGCAACAGAGGAAAATGTCGAAAAGTATTCTTTGGTTTTGTTGTAGGGGTGAGGTTAAAAGAGTTGTGCGGTTGGCAGGGTAATCAAAAACTTGTATGCAGTGCAGTTGTCAAGGCGGCGGGGAGAGCAATCAAGTTAGGACATGTACAATCGTCTCGAAAAACAGGATTTTGAGGGAGAGAGCGATTGGGATAAACATTACTCGAACTCTATTTACTCGACGAATTCGTGCAGATACTGTTGGTGCTCAAGTGCTAAGTTTCATGCAAGGTGTTTGTGGTTTGTATGTGTGTGTGTGTGTGTGTGTGTGTGTGTAATGTGTGTGGGTGGTTGTGTATGTGTGTGTGTTTTGTGTGGTTGTGACTCGAGCGAGAATGAGGTGGAGGGGAAGTGGAATTGAATAAATGCTGACAAGCAAAGTTTAATTTAGTTGAGACAAGAAAAGAGCTTCGGTCTTCTTTGGATGTAAGCGTGGTCAAGTTTGGGAATTGAAGTGGATGTGTACAAATACACAAACCAATTAGAAGCACACACGCACACACATTCTCACACACGCATTTACAATTTTCTCTTGAGTTATGGGTCTATCACATCGGTTTCGCTGCTTCGTGGTGTCTTTGAATTGGGTTCTGGCAGAAGCTGTCAGGAGGATTGCCCGGTTGATAGGGGTGGGGAGGGGGGAGCTTCGGTGGCGGGTAGTCCTGGGGGTGAAGATCAAGAGGGGAGCCAGAAGGGTGTTTGAATTTTTTAACTTGACGCATGTCGTAGACCTCGCCACATCCTTCGTCAAATTCCTCTCCGTCGTTGGAGGAATTAACAAGAGAGTGACAATTCAGAGACACATCCGGACGCTGGTACATAGCTGTGTCAGATATCGGCTGCGAAGGAGCTCCTGAGTCACTAGGAGTCTCCACAGATCGAGAATCGGAATCGAATTGGTGGGATCCACGCTGTCCCCGCGGTTTGTGGGACGGAGATCCCAGAAACAGGGGTTGTGGTCGGTCCACGGACCCTGTTGAAGCGTTCGCTGCCTGTTCCATCATTTCCAGCTGCTCGAGAGTGCCGGGACCATTGAGCTTTGCAATGTTGTGTTCTTTTTTCCATTTCATCCGGCGGTTCTAAACCGATAAACATAGGGAAGCCAATATATATGGCCCTCATAGTACCACTTGTAGGGACGCATGTGTACATCATGAACATGGCCGAAGACTCTTGTTAAAATAGGTGATCAAAATTGCTATCGGTAACTTCGATATTAACTGTCGTGTACTATCACCGACAACAATCAGATTTAACTGGGAGTTCAAACACACAAATAACTCCGCTCAAATGGTCAATTACCTGGAACCAAATTTTTATTTGGCGCTCCGTCAGGGACAGAGAATGGGCAATTTCAATTCTGCGTCTCCTCGTAAGATATCTGAAATGTAATGAAGTAATTGAAAGGATTTAAAACCTTCCATACTGGGACCAGAATTGCGTATTCCATTGCCAATGAGATATGCGCACTGAAAAGATGTGCGATTAGTGAACTTGCATCCCAAATGACCGATATCTTTTAACAACGGGCCTAATGTATTGTAGCAAATAGCGCTACCTTAATACGGATTAAATGTTAGCCACCGGGGACTTTACAGCGAAACCGTTGATTGCGTTTTGTGTGAAAATCTTAGCCTAAGATCGAGGCTGTAAAGTATTCACGCGCACAAATGAACACACGCACGCGCACGCAACTGGGTGCTCGTGTAAATACATATTATCTGTTCGAAGAGGTTTGTTTTGCCACGGCATAACCACTCCTGATTTCTCCTACTGATCGCTTGCTAAAAATTAGTTCAGGTGCAGCGGTCAAAATGTTTAGAACAACAAAACAGAATCGGTGTCAACTTTGATTCCCTGCCATCGCCTCCGTAGTTAGCTTCGCCCCTTCCTCTCCACGGGGTCAAGGCCACCTGCGTGAATAAGGAAGAGGAAAATATTTCAATGGGGGTTATCTCGAAGCTCGCATCTCGCTGACCAGGGACGGAGATCATTTTGGGAGCCTAGACATCCTGACAGTAAGACAAATTAGTGTTCCCCGATATTAAAATGAGGGGCACCCTGCTCATATTGCATGTCCCTCCAGGACGTGGCAAGTCAGAGTACAAAGGCGTGTCCATGGTCTTCGATTCGCGCCTTAGATACACACACACACCTATCTAGCCAGACAGTCTATAAACGAGCGTGACGACAACGCAACGCGTTTCGCATGTACAGCTAAAAGATCAAAGCGCCAGACATTACAGTGCCGACTCCTTCTTCTATACCACTACCACCACCACACCAGCACCACTACCAACACCGCCGCCGCCAACGCCGGCGACACCGCTGACTTGGTCAATCGATTTTTTCCTCTCTTCACCCACCGGCGCCTCAAAGTGGGTACGGTCGTTAACCCTCATCGCCATTAAACCGCTTGGGAAGTTGCCTTGAGTAGCCTTCTAATGTGGAGTCGGCTGATCAGTTAAGGGAGGACGCAGTTTCAGCAAAAAACCTAGAGTAAGGACTTTTCTTTTCAGTTCCATAACGTCGTTTTGCTTGACCTAATTATTGCATGTGACAGCCATTTTAGTCGTGTGATTTATACCTGGAAAATGCTCAGGAGAATCCCAATTTCCAATGAGTTAACATTTAACCTATGTGACTGTGGGGTCGCTGCCTAAATTATTCTTGCGTTTCATACAAAAAAAAACTATTTGCCTTTCAAAACTGGAGTGCTCTAGAAGCATCAATACCTATTTGAAGTGAATTTATGCGATAGTTTAGGGAAAACGTCTTTAGTCGATTTGAGCCACCGTTTAGCTGGAAAAAGTTCAAACCGTCAGACCGTCATAATGTAGATGTCAGCCTCACTTTCAATTCACCAGTCAAAAATAAAAGACTAAAGAGCGGATGCCATGAAGTTAAATTGATCTCTTTGGCATAATCTTGGAAACAGAGCGTTGAATGTGGAAAGGGGTCATGCCACACAAGCCTCTCGAGACGTTGACTAGGACTATACATAAAGACACAAGAGTTTTGTATCGATAGTCAACTCAAATTGATTTTGGTGAGTTTAGATAGGGATAAATGCGGCGTTTATGCAGCAGCTCGCCGCAACAGGCCATTGCCTAAAGTTATTCTTTTGAAAAAAGCAGAATTTAATTACCCACAATCACATACTGTTGAATGGGCTTGAATAGAGTCGGAAGGATCGAAAATCTGATAGCAAAGAGTTAAACTCACTTGTTGAAGTGGAATTCCTTTTCTAGTTCCAAAGTTTGGTAGCGAGTGTAGGTCTGTCGCGTGCGTTTATTTTCAATCCCGAGTTCTGAAACGAGGCAAAAGCGGCAATAAAGCACGATGTCAAAAAGACACGAGGACGCGCGTGTTTGGGTGGGTTTGTCGTGTGAGGCTGACAATTTGATGTGGTGCAGGGCCGTGCCAGACGGGGAGTAAGAACGAGTGCGCGGCTCACGGAAAAAAACCCCCCGCCCCCCCCTAAACGGGACCCCGTCGTGCCCCCGACTGCCGGGTCTTCGCGCTCTGGCTGCATTGCACAAGTTCCCAATAAAAATTACCACATTTATAACGACCACCACCACATGCAGGTTGGGCTGGGTGAGAATGTGTACACGAGTATTTGTATTTGAAGAATGATGATCCCCTTGGTATCAGGAGCTTTCCGCTTTCTGACTTGCTCGTATGTTAAAAACGACATTAAGGTAAACCGCCAGTGGATTTCAGCGCCCAGTATTTAAAAAACGGCATCAGAATTTGCCTATCTTGACCACTCAGCAGCCCTCGGGGCTTCAGGCCAGCATGAATTCAAAACACTGTAACCAAAACAATAATGTTGGTCACTTTGGAATAAAACTCTGGCTTACGTAGTGGACAATGCTTCATTGTGCATGAAAAAACCTCAAAGATATATTTTTTAATGACTTAAAAATATGCATGCTCCAAAGTCAGAATACACTGACACTAAATGGACGGGTTCCGACCTTGCGCGTACTGCTTCACACCAATTCAAACAGGATGGACAACTGTACCCTGGGATATTTGCCTTTTGGCTAAGCACTTTGTGAGGTCTCTTAGAGGCGGAGTCAAATGCATTTGATAATGGTCAGCTGTCTTAGGTAAAATTATGTTTATTAAATCTTTCAACAAGCCTCTTAGGCCGAGCCACCTCGAATCACACCCCTTTCCTAGGCCACGCACCTTTTGCTTCCATGTTATGACCGGAGTTCAAGTCCCGATAGAAATGGCCTAGGTCTGGTGAATGGAACCGCGCACAAGTCTTAAATTAAACTTGTACAATTTCTGCATTGCCTCAATTCATAATGTTTACCCTCATTTTTTATTGAGTACATCCGTTAAAAACTTTTGGCGTTGAACAAACAGTTTCAGGGGCTATTCCCGTGGCAGGTTGAGAAGAAACGTTTTTAATTTCAAATCAAAATTGTCATGGCCTTAATTAGCAAGCATAAACAAGTTCCGAGGCAAGTGTAAACACAGTTCCAACACCAGATGCAAAATATTTTCCTGTTTTGTCGCCTTTTCTGAAAGTAGCATTTGAGCAACAATGATTGCCTAACACATGATATCGCTGCATAGAACCACGGTTTAAGTTGGACCGCGCTACATTCGGAATGATTTTCCTGTCGTTTTACATAGCTCATGAGTGCGTTGATTCACATGCATAATTCATGTAACCTCCACCGCAAATCGCTCTAAATGCTGCGTATGAAGTCAACCAAGACCGATACCCATCAAGCAAACCGAATGTTCGATCAAATGACAATTGATTCTCTTTCGTGTGCAATTTAAAAAAATACATAAGAAATACAGCAACAAAATTCGTGGTGTGCAAGAAGTTACTAACTCAAGCGCTATCGTGTTCTTATGCTAGACTACCAGTTGTCGATCTCTGAAATGTTCGTATCGCAGCTACTTAAACAACACTTTCCCATGTTTGTCTTCGACAACCTCTTTGTCCACACAAAAATGAAACACAATTGAATGTACCATATTTTAGTGTTTTTAAAACATAAATATTGGTCATTTTAACAGTCTGGACTTGTTACTCGAACTGTCTTACAGGCACAACAGCTCACGGTCACTTGACAACCTTCTCCTCTAGGCGAATTGCCCACATCTCTGATCTAGAGTCTTTGGGCTGCAAGATATCTCTCCGGTAGCATTTAGTTTAAGCGTTCAACACAGAATGCAGAGTTTTACTCCTCCTTGTCTACCTATTACGTCACGCGTGATAAGTGTGGCCAAAAAAGTAAGTAAATATTTGTGCAGCTGTGGTGTTTTCTTACGAACGTGCCCCTATTTATCAAATACCGATCCCACCATTAGTGGTGTAGCATTGCTGTGCACTAAAATGGAGCGCGAGAAGGGCGTTTCCATGTGTACTTTGAGGGTTTCTAACAAGTGCATTTGAAGTGGCAGAAGTGTGCACCCTGTGAGCGCTCTCCTGATCAGCGATCTCGTCACACGTCAAAACGCGTGCATGCGTGTGGGTGACCGCAACACACACGCAATCAATAGGCCTTAATGTATACCACACGTAGGGTGGTGCGCATCGAATTAGCATTACGGACAACGCACACAGAGCCCTCGACGCGTCGCCGCCGCCGCCACCTCCACCTCCTCCCTTCCGCCCGGTGTGTGTGTGTGCATGCCTGTGTGCGTGTGTGTGAGCGCGTGTTTGCAATTCGCTTTGATCTTTTCGTTCATAGTTTGCGCATCACCGAAAATGCGTCAGTGATTTGAACAAAGTGCATACATGGAACCGTTTACGCAGGTTCGCTATCAGAACTAAAGGGGCAAACCAAGGTAATTGACTGTGTATCGTCGTAAAACGCCAATGAATGAAACCCCCCTCCCCGAGGAAATTTTGGCATTACATGTAACTAAATGAGTCAGGTACCACAAGAACAGGTTTAATGGCTTTTATTGCCTGCACGAATTGTTTCACGGGTGCTTCGCTGGAGGATTGTCAAATTCATCTGTATTCTTCAGGTTTTGCGTAGACGCTCACCGGAAAAAGCGATCTAAGTGAATTGTGAGTGCGCTTGTGTCGAAATACAAACAGCATGGTTCTTATCCACTAGAGGGATGCAACGAGATCAACTGGTTTTCTGCAAGCCACCTTGTACGACCTGGTTAGACGGGGATCGTTACGACTTTAAACAAGCCGTTGTGTGAGTCGCTACTTTTACACTTCCCTGTTTTGCCTTCCATTCTGATTTACAAAAAAATCTTGTTTTGTAAGGCATGTGCATCTTCGGATGCCTTAAATGAAGACCGATAGTGCCCATCAAAACTATGGTCAAGCACCTGAAAGACCTGGTCATTAGCAGATTAATAAGGTCATAAGTTCTAATCTACTGGGATCTGTACACCACTAAACTGTAACAAAAACAATCGCACATTACTGCCGCAGCAAATTTTCTGTGTGCTTAGTTGTATTGAATGATGTAGAGTTCCTGTGGTACCATGTTGAGAACAATGCCCACATCCTATTTATGTGTCTAATCACTTGAGTTTCAGGTAGTTGACCAATTACGTGGTTTTCTTTCTAACTACACATTCTCCGTTGCACGCTGACCAAATCAACCCATCCAAAACAAGATAATGTCGTAAGCCAACATATTTGAATCCCTTTAGTTCAATTTCATTGACATTGTAAGGGACAATTAACGATTCAGTAAAATTATTCCATTTGGTAGAAATTCCTCGTTCCGCAAACGTCAGCCCAAGGGACTACTTATAGTCCCTCGAAATGTCATTTTGGTGCTCTTCAGTAATCTGGGGACTAACCGACCGTCCGCTTGAAGTTCTTCAAGTCGTCCTTCAAAGGTTTCCCGTAACATTTAAACGTCATAGGTTTGGTACGCATCCTCTTAGCTACAATCTGCTCACCTGAAAATATTTCGCTAAACCAAGTTTACGACAAGTGTCTATTTCCGCGTATAATATGATTTGCCGAAAAGTGTATGTGATGGCAAAAACGAATGGTCAAGAATCTTTATATGGTGTAAGCATCTATTTTTTTCCACAACTCGAACCAATGTAGTTTAAAAAATACGAAACGTAATAAAATTCTAAAGGCACAAATGGTTTTTCCTTTCTTGACTCCCACTATTCTACCAATCGAGAAGGTCCTCTCATTTTAAGCTTAGTCCAGACGGTAGCAAACCTCTTGCATTCTAGTGATTGCTGGTCTAAGTATGTGTGTGTGTGTGCGTGCGCGTCCGTGATTTAGTCAGAGCACTGCGGACTTACATCCCCACAAGCGTGTCCACGATTCATCCAGACGTGGCAGCTGAGCAAAACAACAAAAATTTGGCTGTGCCATGACAAGAAGGAGTTCAAATAGCCAAAAGCCTACCACAAAGTGAACATTCAGCAAGTG